TGTTTTATCATCGTCATCATGTTCAGCGAGATGATGATGATGATTAGAGTGGTTGCTCTGCGTCTAGATTCGTCATACGAAAGAAGATTATCATCACCACGAGACTTTTTTTTTGCCCGTGCAAGGACCGGATGTATTGCAGTAAATGTGAAACTTGGAAGCGAAAAGCAGACCGCGACGTGATGTTCATTGTGTAGTGTTTATAAAGACGAATAAACTTCTTAGGAGGCACACTCTGTTTATTGTAATCCCTTTCTTATACAGTCCTTAACACACACAGAGGGGTATCCGGTCCCCTCACCCGATACCCTAAGGAGGTACAGCCTCCTATCTTGGCGGGACTTACACGTCTACCGCTATTCTAGAGTCCTCCGGCTGGGACCTAGGGGAGTCTATCTGACCCACCGCTGGCCCGACGGGTCTTGACCACTGGGTACGCCGAGCCTTAGCCCTCAGAAGGGCTGGAAGGCCGGGTCCAGGGTCCTAGCTAGTCTTCAGCTCAGTCTTCGTGTAGGGAGGGAACTCCCCGAGCTCTGTTGGGTCACCCTTCTTATACTCGTTCGTGGCCAGGTAGAACCAATCACACATTCCCACGTGGAACAGTCTGATTGGTTCTTACCGATCCACTTCACCTCGTCTGACCCCAACCGTTGTACCCAGAGGTAACGCTGCACTGCCCCTTTGATACCTGGTGGCAATGCAGGTTACCGAACAGTGCGTGGTTAACACCTCTACAATTGCATCAATTCGTGTGCATTTTGTAAGGGCGCGGTGACACGGACCTATTTCATTTAAAGGTTATAATCCCTTGTTCATCACGACGTCCTTTTTACTTTGATGTCTCAACAGCGTGACGGAGATCGCGTGACGTGAGGGTTCTGCTTTTGTGGTGAGGGTTGTAAGTTGACGACGAGGAGGAGGGGGGAGGAGCCTCGCCCCCCCATGTGGAGTGACGTCACCTGCTCATGATTATTAATGAGGGGGGGTTACATGTGGAGTGACGTCACCCGCTCATGATTATTAATGGGGGGGGGATCCATGTGGAGGACGTCACCTGTTCATGATTATTAATGAGGGGGGCTGGCCGACGTGAGTGACGTCACGCGCGGGACACACAGACATTGTTGGCTCATTATAGTAGTAAATAATCGGTCATGGTTAATCCACTGCTGGATGAAGGCCTACCTCTCCTGTCCCCAAGCCGACTCCATCTCTCATGGTCTCTGCGATGTTAACGATCCACGTGGCGTCTGTGCGCACGCGAGCCGAGACCCCCATCGCTCCATCTCCATCGGTGGCCGTCCGTCACCAGTGGGGCAGGTTCTCTCGCGCGTGGCTTCTAATCTGTCCTTAAGTCTCGACCAGAGACCATCATGAGTTCCTTCCGGGCCGCCATGCGTCCGACCAAATCACACTTTTAGGGCGCTGAGGTGGCAAGATGTTAACTACCTCACCTGGTATACAGGATGGTCGTGGGTTCGATTCCGACCTTGAGCCCTTTACATTTGGAGTTTGCGTGTCTCTCTCCCCGTAGTCGTGCGTGGATTTTTCTCCGGGTCCTCTGGGTTTTCCCTCCGCAGTTAGAAACGTGCGTCTGGAGTATTTGGCTGCTATACATTTCCACGTGATGATAAGCCACTTCGTTGAGCTATCATCTGTGGCCAGGTCGCTTCTGAAAAAGAGCTATAGAGCTCAGTGGGCCTTACCTGCTAAAATAAAACATAGTTTAGTTTGTTAACAGCCAGGATAATGTCTTTGACCTGCGTGTGTTCTCTATTGCGAGCTATTACGTCTCTTCATCTGTATTATAATCAAAGTGTTTGCCTAAACTGAACCACAATCACCTCGCTGACCTCGTCAAGGGGCATAAACCATCATCACGCGGACTCCGGTCATGCTTGCAGCAGCAGCGGATTTTGGCTGTCCATCGAACAAAGACTGTCACCGCATCGCGCGCTTCTCAGATGTGCTTCTGCGGCCGTCTGGAACGCTCTTCCGATATTAGGGAGCCACTGGACCCTATGCACTTTCAAACGTAGATTGAAAACTAAATTTTTTAGCACTGCGTTTTGTGTCTAGTTTGTTGTCCTTCCCCCCGCACCTCAGATTAGCACGGTTGGCTGCGTACGGCACGAAAGAGGTTCTACATATATACATCGGCTGCCACATCTCCACTTCCCCCACAAGCAGCAAAGATTATCTAATCTGCTTAGATACAGACTGCGACTGTCGATGATACTTCACCGAACTACGTTTGCAGATAGACTCCCAATTAGTCGAACAATCGAGTTACAGTATTGTCCGCGTGTGTCAACACAGCCCCTCAATGACAGCCTGGCGCGGTGTGTAAACATCAGCACGACAGGTTTTTTTTTTCAGTTTAATTTATTGGGTGTAGCCCTGTGAGCCATGCGGCTCTTGACTCGGGTGCAACCGCAACAAACAAAAACATGAACAAAGTACATCTTAAAGTGACTACGCGCAACAGAAAAATCCAGGAAAAAGCAGCAAAGTCTTCCAGAATAAAACACCGTATATCAGCGCTGTGTGCAAAAATCCCAGTGGGATGCAAGTCAAACAATAACAACCATAAGACAATTTAGATTAAAGTAATCAGGGTAACTCTGTACTTCAACAAACAAGCATGGCAAAACCAAACCAAACGTTTTCGAAATCACCAAAAATAAAGCTATAAAAGCAATGTAACAGTGATCATAGGAACTGTGATTAAAATTTTACAATAAACGATATACATAACATGTACGACCAAACTTTGCAGCTTATAGCTGGCAGCATGAGTCACTCCATAACAGCAGGGGAGAGGTAGAGAAACAAAGGCGGTGAATCGCTGCGTTCCCAACTGGTTTAAAGGAAACAAAGTTTGTGAATATTCTTGGTTCTTTCGGTAAAGTCACGTAGAAAGGAAATCAAAAATAAAATAATAAAAATATGATTTTATTCTTTCCCTTCTACGTGACTTTACCGAAAGAACCAAGAATATGAATCCCTGTAGTCACGAAAGCTTTAAATCGAAATTTTAAGTTGGTGAAACTCGGGCGCGTGTCGATCGGGCGCTATTCACGGGCGCTATTCACGGGCGCTTGCAAACAACAATTGCCCCAAAAAGGTCTAAAATTTGATTTAAAGCTTTCGTGACTGCAGTAATTCATATTCTTAGCTCTTTCGGTAAAGTCACGTTGAAGGGAAACAATAAAATAATAAAATATGTGTTTTATTTATATATTGTTTTATATATATTTAAATTTTATTGTTTCCCTTCAACGTGACTTTACCGAAAGAGCTAAGAATACCAAAAAATGTCTGAGGCTATACTTGTCTGTCTGGTAGCGTGGCGATTCGTATTATTGAAACGTAAGATTTGTGGTGGAAAATTTCGCGTGTTTTTACTTTTTTTTGCGGAGGAATTTATACAACATCGTTTTACATCGCCTGTATATATTTGCGTGCACTGTAATGCCCTCACGCGCTCGGCACGCCTCACCAGTTTGGCAGGAATATTAAAAAAAAAAACGTCAGAAGTGGCGAAAAAAAGTTCGCTAATTAATGCACTTGATCGATAGAATTGTCCCACCTCTGCACTCAAATCACTCATATTAGCACACACGAACTACGCAATGCCGACCCTTTGAGATCGATTGCCGGCTTATGTAAGCCACCTCGAGGGGACACGGGTTCCTACGCCACGACACGGGGGAATGTGGCGCACACAGAGAGTGCAATTATCACTTCACGTGTCTTATGCAACCTGCCCCAAATGTGATCCGCACGCTTTGCGAAATGTATGAACCGCCCTGGATTACAGCGAAGCACTGAGGATGAATATAGGTTCTGCTGAAGCCTCGTCGTTTAACCCCGCAAATGGAATTAACGTCTCTGTATTGCGATGTTGATTTTTGCCGAGAAGGGTATCGCATGAGAGACGATGACATTAGAAGGGAACACAAGCGTCTCTCGGATATTGTTAAACACAAGGCCAGGTAAATCAAACGCAAAAAAAAAGCAACGGGATGCTGAGCAGCGTCGTCAACACCGCGCTGGCACGGTGGCTAGGAGATGTTAACTCCCTCGCCAGGTGTGCAGGAGGTCGTGGGTTTGATCCTGACCATGATGCCTGCTGCTGTATATTTGGAGTTTGCATGTCTTTCTCCCCGTGGTCGCGTGGAGTTATCTCCGAATCTTTCGTTTTTTCCCTCCACATTTAGAAATACGCGTTTAGAGCATTTGGTTGTGATAAAATGTCAACGTGATAAGCCACTTCATTGGGCTATCATTTCTGATAGCCAGGTCGCTTCTTGAAAATAGCTACATAGCTAAGTTGGCCCTGCCTGGTAAAATAAAACAATAAATGTGTTTAGTTTATTCCTTTTAAGAGGCCACACACAACAGAGGACAAAGCTATAATGTCCGTGCTGCCAGGTGCTAGCTGCTAGGCAGAAGGAAACTCTTTGAATCCACGATTTCCAAGCAGCCGATTGAATGGCTCCGATGTACAGGTTAGTCCAGATATCGTGTAACCCACCCACCCCCCCCCCCCCCCCCATTTAATTCTCTAAAATGTAATATTTTTAAAGTAAGATTTATTTACTTATACAGAAATGAATGTGCAATGGAAACAAAATGTTCATGGTCAATTAATTGGGGGTCACAAGACATCTGAACCGTCCTGTAGCAGACACCTACCATCCATTATTCATATTATTATGGCCTTTGACCAAATCAACTGTAAGCTGAACAGGATTGAGCATAGATAGTGTTTGGATGGAAACTGCCTTGCCTAAAAGATGTTACAGAACACGGGGCTACGTGGCGAGTATTTCAGAGAAATCCACTGTTGTACTGTACTTCTCTGCTCCCATGTCTATTCTCCCCACAATTACAAATCCCGTGGTGACCAACGTGGTGAAATAACGGTCAGGATTTGATTAACCGGGAAATTGCCGTAATTGACGTCGCTGTCGCTTCTCCCGCGGTGTCCGCAGGGCGGCCAGGGCAGTGAGACCGCGTCATGTCGTAATCCGCAGACGAAACCGGCCCAACTTTAGATACCACGCCACAACCCCACCGCCACCGCGACCACCCGCACCAACATGCCGATCACGCGGCGCCTGGGCCCCCGCAAGTCCCCGCATCAGGGCTCGGCTCACCCGACCGGGGGGTCTCGCAGCAACCTTACCAGCGGCGGCGGCGTCGCAGGCCGCGCCAGCCCGGCGACACCGACGGAAGCCGTCAGCCTCAACGGCTCCGCGCCGCCGCCGCCGCCGCCGGCGGCCCTGGCGGAGCAGCGGTCCCCGGCGCCGCGCTCGCCGCCGCCGCCGACGGTCGGCGGCGGCGAGCGCCTGTCGCTGTGGTTCCGCCTGTACCTGTACGCGATCCACGGCATCGCGCTCGACGTGCTGCTGTCGGCGGCGCTGTCGTTCCGCCGCACGGGCGACTGGCGCCTCTTCGGCTTCTCGTCGCCGTACTTCGCGCTGTCGCACGCGCTCGTCGCGCTGGCGCTCGAGAAGGCGTACGTGCTGCAGAAGCGCCTCTTCCCGGCGAGCCCCGTCTGGTGCAAGCTGGTGCTCCTCTCGCTCGTGTTCGTCGCGAGCCGCCTGTCGACGCGCACCGCGCTGCTGGGCCGCGTCGCGCAAGACGGCGAGCGAGCCGCCGCCTCGTCCGTGCCCTTCAACCTCCTCGTCGCCCTCTACTACACCTTCGTCTTCCTCGACGACTTCCTGCGGCTACGCTACGCCCGCGACGTCGCCCTGCCGGCGTCGCTCCAGCGCAGCGCGCGCCTCTCCATCCCGCCCGCCTTCCACCTCCTCTTCTTCAGCGTGCAGGGCCTGGTGGACGAGGTGTTCTTCACGGCGTTCTTCAACCTGTTCGAGAAGTCCGACTGGACGCTGCACGGGCACACGTCGCTCTGGTCCTTCGCCATGTACGGCAGCTGCAGCTTCGTGGTGGAGCGCCTGTACCTGCACCTGGCGGGCCGGCGCGGCTGGGGCACGCTCAGGCGGCTGCCCGTCTACATCGCGTGCATCTACACGTGGGAGTTCACCTGGGGGCTCGCGCTGCGACAGATCGGCGCCTGCTCCTGGGATTACTCGCACTACCCGCTCAACTTCATGGGCCTCATCACGCTCATGTACCTGCCCGGCTGGGTGCTGCTCAGCCTCTACCAGGACGTGCTGTCCAATGTGCTCCTGAGGTTGCGATACGCCGAGCAAAACTCGGTGTGCTAAGTGGGGTGGTGTAAATTTAATTTTAAAAAATATATATATAAAAGGATTAGGGACGATGTAAACGATTTATACATTTTCAGGCTGGTGGAGGGTGGGGGGTTCCGCAGCACGTAATTGATTTTTGTTTTGAGCGCGTGGGTTGCAGCAGCGTCGACGCATTGTGAACTGAAAATCTCGCAGAGTGAAACTGGTAGTGTCGCCCAGTGCTCGTCAAGCGGTGTGCCACGGCACACCACGGGGAAGAGGTCGGAATTGTAGGAAAGAACCACAAGAAACCACCCCCCCCCCCACCACCCCGCACCCCAACTCACGCCGTAGCCCTCGGCAACGGTCGCGGGCGCAGAGTAACTCGGTGTGACGCGCAATGAAAAAGCGGTTGAGGAGCACTGAAAAGATCGCACGCGCCTTGCCAACCCCACCGCTGAACCGTGATTGAATCATTTGGCGGGACCCCGGGGTCCCGCAAAAATCAGGTCAATAATTATTATTTTTCTTCAGTCCGCCCACTCGTGACCCCGACAGCAACGCGCCGCCCGCCCAGACTCGCACCAACAAGCGCCAGCAGCAGGCGGCGATCGACACGATGGGCGCCACCCCACCGGCCAAACGCGAGCCCCGGGGGGCGTCCGCCGCAGTCGCGCACGGCGACGACGCCCTCCGGTCAGCCGTCGATCCTCAGCTTCTTTGCCAAGGCGAGCCCGCCTCCCAGGCAGTGAATTTAACGTGTTTATGTAATTTTTCAACTTTTTACGAAACTTAGTGCCCCGAGTAGCTCTCGACGAGGCCAATCGATTGACACTAGTTTTGTAAGAGACTAGTTTTGTTGTCGGTAAGGCAAGACTCGTGTCGCTACGTGGCTTTTCCACCCCGGGGCAGTGATGGGACCCCGGGGTCCCGCCAATTGCTTCAATTGTTCATGGGTTCTGCGAGCCATACAAATGTCCGGGCCGGGAAACCAACTCCTGTCTGTGAGGTCGGGTGAGCCTCTCTCTGTGTGTGGCTGACATCTGCAGCTGTGGTGTGAAGAATGTGCCCATCGTTTATTTGGGTCTTTTTTTAATTCAGAAAAATCTCACAACCCATCGCCGCTAATTTCGTAAAGCCCTTTGTCAATCCACTGCTGAACGAAGGCCTCCCACCCATGCCATGCAGTTAAGAAGTCCATGCTTTAAAACTGGGCTGGCAGCCTGCAGCTGAATGTAAGCAGTAGTCTGCAGGCTGAGTTTTTAAACCTTTCTATCCTGGAACACATTTTGAAAGCAAAGATTGTATCCAAAGGGTAACTCGTTTCCCCTTCCATATGGTAACCACTTCCCCCCCAACGCCCCCACCTTCCCCCCCTCCCCACACTTTTTTTCCCAACCTCTAGCGTTGTTCTCGGAGGAGAAAAGAGTCACCAACTCTGTAAAAATCCCTGCAGTGAGCTCTGTAAATAAGGAGGCATCCGACCTGCAAAGCCGAGCAGTGTGTTTGTTGTTGGAGTGGACCATGCGTTGGGAAATGTGAAAAAAAAAACAGCAAAAGTACATAAAACTGCATGGGAAACACACAAGGTGGCGTTCGCTCCGAAGCTCGGGGTGCGGTAAACGGATTCTATAAACAATTTTTATTTTATTTTATCAGGTAAGGCCCCACTTGGGCCACATAGCTCTTTTTCAGAAGCGACCTGGCCACAAATGACAGCTGAACGCAGCGGCTTATCACGTGCACATTTACAGCAGCCAAACACTCTGTGAACTTCATGTACATTCTAAATGTGGAGGGAAAAACTAAAGGACCCAGAGAAAATACACGCCACCGCGGGGAGAGAGACACCTGCAAACTCAAAATATACAGCAGGCGTCAGGGTCGGGATTTAACCCACGACCTCCTGTATATCAGGCGAGCGAGTTAACATCTCGCCAACGACGAAGAAGAAGTGTTGGAACCCGGATATGACAACACCAATTGACGGATGAGTTGCGGAGGGCACTCCTTCACGTTGTGGTGACTCGCACTGCGGTGATTGCGTGAATAGCTCCCTCAACTGTGACATTCAAATCCTGAACCCTTAATAGTAATAGCGAAATGAAATAAAGACGAGGGAATAATCCTCCGACACGTGTGATTGTTAATGCGATGAGTTCTGCGAGCCATGCAAACGTCCAGACCGGGAGACCAACTCGTGTTTGTGAGGTCGGGTGAGCCTCCGTATGTGGCTGACATCTGCAGCTGTTGTGCTAAGAATATGCTGACTCATAGTTGATTTTTTTTAATTCTGAAAATGTCACAACCCATCACCACTATTTTTGAATAGCCCTTTGTCAATTCACTGCTGGACAAAGGCCTCCCACCCATGCCATGGAGTTGAGAAGTCACGAGGGTCGTTTGACCATACTTCACCAACCTAGTTTGTTAACTGGGGGGGGAGGGGACCACAAGTTCAAATATCACTCGCAGCTGATGTTGTGGCCCAGCATTGATATTCAGTCAGCGGATTCGTAGCACACTCGCACTAAATACTGTGGCATCGCTGCACTCCCATCGCCACTCCACAGTACAGGATGTCTTGTGACCCCCCCATTTAATTCTGCGAAATTTGATATGCTTTTTTAAAGTAAGGTATATTTTAATACAGAAATGAATACGCAAAGGAAACAGTTTTTTAGGGGTCGATTAATCGGAGGGCTCACAATACATTTGAGCCACCTGTACAACGAGCTTTATCCCCACATCCGAATCACAGTTATCCAGCAAACGTTGAACGTTGCACGAACGTTGACCCAACAATGGCACGTGTTTACTTGGTAGTCACGGCCTGCTGTCCGCCTGCTCTGAAGCAAGAAACTTTGTCCACAAAAAACCCATCGCACCCCCCGATTACTTTAACACTTACCCGACTTTGTTTGTCACTGACGACGGCGGGAATGCGAGTTTCGTACGGCTGCAAATTGCGGTCACTGAATCTGAAACTCGATGAAGCAATCGAAGGGGAACAGCGATGAATCCTCTCTGTCGGGCCACGCTCTTACCCCTAACGTCATCACGCACCGCGCGATTGTGCATCTGCTGTGAGAACGTGCCGATTTGATACGTGTCGGTTATACATATGTACATGTTGTTGTTACTTGTTTACAATTTAACGTTGGCATTTCGAGCTTCAGATCAGTCACGTGAATTGTTGATGGTCAGGGATTAATTTATCATGGAATATTTTCAGAGAGCATCGCCCCTCGTCCTCCCTCCAACAATGGTCGGGTGTGGGGGGGGGAGAAATATTTTCTGGGGCTCAGCCCTGGACAGCTCCGGCTGATATTGAGCTCTGTTCCAGTCCAGCTTGCCATGATTACCAAAACCATCAGTTGGATGCCGCGTGCAGTGGCTTAAGTTGCATTCGGTTAAGATTGGTAGTCACGAAAACGTACACTGTATGGAGGGGCTGCAAGGACTAGGGTTGAGAAACACCGGGCTCCAGGTCGAGAATGACTATTGTAGCGTATAGTCGGAGTAATTATTTTCGAGTTCATTCAAAATATAAATTAAGTCGTTACACAGCACGCATGCCTGATGAGTGATAAACATGCCCCAGTGTGACGTACTGAATGCCGAATAACTGAATTCGTGCTGACTAGCGTATATACAAAACGACAAAGATCCCCCGTATAGACTGAACAGACTGTTGGGATAAGTGCTTTTAGCAAGCACCTATGAAGGCCGGAACGGCACACGCGTGGGTGGGTGGCCTGCACCACGCCGGACCGCATTTGTCTCCCGAGTGGCGATGTTTACATACCGCACCAGGTGCTCATTTGAAGCTGAGTCGACCTCGTGGGAGGCCCAGGACCAATTTAGATAATCGTCACTGGTGTTGGCTGTGAGCAGGAATCGAACTCAGGCCGCTGGGTTCGTAGCGCGGCGCGCTAACCGCTACAACCAGGCAAACGCTGGGCCGGTTTTGGTTCTCACAGTCTCATCAATAGTGTCAGGCCTGTTAAACAAATGCCATCAATGGTATTGGCAAGAGCACTCCACCTTAACAATGGGGCCCATTCAGTGCAAGAGTGAACTTGCGTGAGAAATAGTTTCACGTGTAAGGGGTATATTATACTGGTAAAGACTAATTAGAGAATCCATTGAAATTTAGAGGAACAAGAATAACTTTAATCGCTCTGACAGCTACAGGCTTAGTGCGGCCTGGAAGCGTATTATTAAATAATACACATTACATTTTGATTAAAGAATTACTAATCTACAACTCATTACTAATCATAACCAATGACTGATTACTAATCGATTATATAATTACAATACCCCCCCCTCCGCCTCTAATCACTGCACCTGATACGAGTTAAGTGATGACGTCACCCTGCTGCTCTATATAAAACCGGGAGCAAGCGAGGCCTTTACCATTCTGGCGAATTGCTTGATGATGCTGGATGTATTTACCAGCGAAACGTTGTACTCAAACTGTAAATGTGGATTCAATCTTCAACACACCGGTGGGCTAAAGTAGTGAATTATTTGTCTTTTGTCAACGTGACACTTTTTTTGCTGATTGCCCGTGTCGGGTGGTGGAGGGTTACGACACATTTATAAATAAACGCGATCTAACCCAAAAACCTTTATTATGAATAATATTGGTCGCGAAAGCCTACGTGTTAAACTGGTATATTATACTAGCTGTTCATATTGCTCCGATGTTCCAAAGTGAATCAATAGTACTGTGTAGACATAAACGCATGCGTAAATAATATCTCTATTTGCTGTATTATTTCATTTCACCACCTGCAATCCTGTCTCACCTGCACAGCACCCACGTGACTCTTATAACGCGCAGTGCATTTGCTGCACGTAGAACGATGTATCCGATAGGGAATCGTGGCATGTAGTAACCGGTGTTTTCATTGCGTAAACGTTGTATGTAATTGGTTCGTGCAGCGCAGGAAGCGGCTGTGTGCTCAGAAGCACTCCCCCACCGCCTTCGTCTCTCCAGTCCATGTCTATGTATTGCACGCTTCAAACACAAAAATCCCCCAGTGTCGCCTCACGACTGTCGTGGAGCAAGCGCTGTTAGCGAGCACCTACGAAGGCCAGAACGGCGCACGAGGGGGTGGGTGGTCAGCCACCACGCCCGGCCGACTTTGTCTCCCCAGTGGCAATGTTTTTTTTTACACATCGCACTAGCTACTCAATTGAGGCTGAGTCGACCTAGGGGAAGACCCAGGGACCGGTTCACTGGTGAAGGTGAACGCGCTAAC